GCTGGAGTGCAGTGGCTATTCACAGGCACGATCCCATTACTGATCAGCATGGGAGTTTTTACCTGCTCCATTTCCGACCTGGGCCACTTCACCCCTCCTTAGGCAACCTGGTGGTCCGCCGCTCCCGGGAGGTCACCATATTGATGCTGAACTTAGTGCGGACACCCGATCGGCATAGCACACTACAGCCCTGAACTCCTGGGCTGAAGTGATCCTCCCACCTCAACCTCCCAAGTAGCTGGGTCTACAGGCACGCGTCACCGCACCCGGCAAAAATAAAAAATATTAGCTGGGCATGCGGAGCATGTCCCAGCTACAGATTAAGACTGAGGTGGAAGGATCACTTTAACACAGAAAGTTGAGGCTGTAGTGAGCTGTGACTGTGCCATTGTACCCTAGCCTGAGTAACAGGGCAAGACCCTGTCTCAAAAACAAAAAAGGCTGATAAAATCTTTTTAAAAGCCAAAAAAAAAAACCCCTCAATTTCAGAGTTCTTATATATACAGGTTGAAATGGCTCCGCAAAGCCATCTTTTGTGAAAAATTTTGCATCTGTAGAGAAACTCCATTATATAGCCAAGCTTTTCCTTTCTAGGCCTTTCCCCAATCAAAGTAATACTAAGGTCTGAAAAATGGCATTTGCCATATATTTTGATGAAGGCTCATAGGTAACAGCCTATGAGCTGTGACTCAGTTACTTGAAAAGTAGCTAGCAAGTCTGGAGCCTGATGCTCCAAAACTATTCTTTAAGAATGTATGCCCAGTCCGGGCGCAGTGGCTCATGCCTGTAATCCCAGCACTTTGGGAGGCCAGACAGGCAGATCATGAGGTCAGGGGATAGAGACCATCCTGGCCAACATGGTGAAACCCCGTCTCTACTAAAAATACAAAAAAATTAGCTGGGCATGTGGCGCACACCTGTAGTCCCAGCTGCTTGGGAGGCTGAGGCAGGAGAATTGCTTGAACCCAAGAGATCACACCACTGCACTCCAGCCTGGGTGACAGTGCAAGACTCTTGTCTCAAAAAAAAAAAAGAAAA